GGTAGTGCTATCTCCATTTTCCAGGTGGGAAAACTGAGGTACCAGTGACTCCTCTGGCTTGTGCAAGGTCACTCTCAAGGGTTCTTTCCCATTAAGAACTAGCTTGGGAGTCAAAGGACATGGTTTTTATCTTCTTGCCTGCTGTGAGGCCTTGGTTGGGTAGTTTGGCTTGTTTGGACTTCAGTTCTTTTATCTGTAAGATGAGTGGAGGTAGACTAATTGTCTCTGAGCAGCCACTTAGCTGAAGTGGTTGAGGATTCTAGCAGCTGCGTGCTTATACATGTAGAACTCCCTGTGTCAGCAGACTTCGGAGTCCTCCTGGGTTAGGGAAGATATAAGAACCAATGAGACCTAAAACAGCATAGTTCATCTCTGCAGACTCTGGGAAGGAGGGATAGAGGGAGCAGTGTACATCATAAGGCAAAGACAGTGGAGTTAGTTATGAAACTCCCAGGATTTTGGAGCCTTAATTCTCAATGCTATCAGTTTAGCAATCTAGCATTTCATTTTGAGAACATGATTCTAGGAACTTACTTCTGTGAGGTCAAAGCAGTAAGATTTATTCCTGTACCCCATTCCCGGTAGCATAGGAAGACTTTCACAAGCTTATAGAGGAAATAGCACCTTTCATGGAATTTAGGCTCTTGAAGTGCCCTTTAAAGGTTGCCTAACCCTTGCTACTTAAAGTGTCTTTTCTGGACCAGCGGTATCAACATCATCTGGGTTCTTGTTAGAAACACAGAATACCAGGCCCCACCCCAGACCTCCTGTACCAGAAACAGCATTAACAAGATCCCCATGTGATTCTCCTGCATATTAAAATTTGAGAAGCACTAGTCCCAGCCCTGCACTTGATTCTTCTCCTTCACATCCTGCTCAATCTTTCTATTCCTGGCCACTTTTAATATCTTTTTCCAAATGGTCTTGTTTCATCCTAGCAGCAACCCAACTTTTGGAATTTCTTCTCTGTCTGAGGCCCCTCAGTCGTTCAGTAACATCTACCATTGGCCCTCAGTGTAGCCTTAGGACTCATGGAACCAAATAACTTCTCTCAAAATAACTTCAGGGCTTCTTATCTCCTAGTCCTCACAGTTTCTAATATTTCCCAACCAGGATACATTCCTGAATATCCCAGCTTGTTTCAAACTCACCAGGGCCAGGCAGGTAACACAAATGAGTGATGAGGGGCAGGTGAAATGCAAGAAGGATTGGTAGGGACTGTGGCAAACTGGGAAGACATGCCCCATCCAAACAGCCCAGCTGTCGAACTGAGGGAAGTCAGCCCAGTACTGGCATATCTTTTAGGTTTTCAAGAGAAGCCAAAAATCTTGATAAAACTATATGAAATCTCCCTGTTTTCACACTAGAATTAAGAAAAACAAGATAAAACAACAAGCAACTTGAAAGCCACCAGCTTGTTTGCCAGTGACCACATTTGGCCCACAGGCCTCAGCGTCTTGCAACCTTCTATGATCATCATCTGCTCAACTTGATGTGACCAACACAGAACAGGCAGGATTATCATCGGCTTCATTGTAGACCAGAAGTTCTCAAACTTGAGCATGTATCAGAATCTCTTGGAGGGCTTGCGAAAACACGCATTGCTGGGCCCTACCCCCAGAGCTTCTGCTTCTAGAGGTCTAGGGTGTGACCCTGGGAATTTGCATTTCTGACAAGTTCCCAGGTGCTGCCCATCCTGTCCCCTTCAGGTACGACACTTTGAGCACCATGGCTTTAGTTTTGTGCCTTCCATTAAAGGAGCCTCAGTTTGCAGAGCCTCTAGTCCCATCAGTGAGCTGAAGTAATCAACCAAAGTTTCCAGGCTGTGGCAGCAGAAGAGGAAAAAGAGATTGGGAAGGAGGGCTGGAGAAAGGAGAGCTAACTAGCCCCTAACTGATAACCCTCACATCACAGAAACAGAATATTACCTTGGGTAGATTCCTGGCCTACCCCAACACTTGGTTTCTCTGTCTGTGGTATAGGAAAGTGGTCTTAGCTCAGCTTCCAAATATGTTTGTTTGCTTGTATAGGAGATTTGATATCTATTTATTTTTAGAAGAACTGTCTTCAAATGAAATCCCACAGGGAACCCCAATACATAAAACAGATATGTTGCTGCTCTGATTGAAGAGCGGGCAGAGCAAGCCCCTACTCTCAGCCTTCCTCTTCCCAAGGCAGTGCTGGGGGGGCCCTTCCTGTAGAACTGTATCCTGAACTGATTAGATGGTTCCATAAGGACCTTCCAGCTCAGCTTCTGTGATTTCTAAGAACCCTGAGAATTGTTGAAAGCATGCAGCCTTAGTTTTCGCCCTCTCTAACCAAGACATGTAGCACACCAACTTTCAGAATTATCTTCTTGGAATTCTGAGAAGTCTATATGAGAGAGAATACAAAGGATTGTTATTATTACTAGAGCTGTTATAAAGATGTTGAGCCATTGTGGAAAACCTGCTAACAAGGATCAACCAGAGGCTTAATAAACAAGCTCAGGGATGATTTTATTCATGGGGGCTTCTTGTTAGCACTAATGCCCAGCACACCACACATCAGGGCCTTTGAAGTTAATTATATAGGACATAGGACTATTGGATTCTGCCTGCCACGGTGGCAAGAACAAGTCTGCAAGATTTTTAATGGGCAAGGTGATTCAGAAAGTATTTACATGAACATAGAAGATATGTAAATAGCTGTGTGGTGCGGCATTACTTGGCCTTTAGATTTGACTATTAGCTTGAAAAAGTATCAGGTTCCTTCTGCTGACCCCAGACACTGGAATGCAGCCTCCTTAATTAGGGAAACTGCTTCGTAATGGGCCCATGAGGATGGGCTCACCTCCCCAGGTAAATGTCAGAGCCCAGCCCCTGGGGGCTGCTCTCTTGGGGTTGCTGTGTATACATATATATATATATATATATATTTTTTTTTTTTTCCCAGCCATTTAATTGCTTGTTCATACAATCCATGCCTATTTGCCACATGTTCACTCTCTTTGGGACTGGGCCCTCCGGACCATAGAGATGACCAGGACCTGCCTTCTGCTCATGCTTGCAGCACTGCTTCTTCTTGGGCCACACACAGCTTTGCTCTCTCCACCCAAACCTCACAAGTCAATGCCCAGGATGTTTGTCTTGCCTGGCTCTCTGTTGGTCTGTCTGAGTCCCTGCCCAAATGTTCTCAGGTCCATGAAACATTCTCCATGTCTCCCTGTTAGATGCAGTAAGTTCCTCTTCAAAGGTTCAGCTTGTTTAACTTCCTTGTTCTTTGTCCTTAAGATCAACTTATTTATACTTTCCTGCTCCTAGTTACCCACTTCATAAACGCCTCCTCCCACCAGTCCTAATCTGTGACCTACATCTGTTCCTTGTTTGAAAAGAGTCCCCTTCACCCTTAGCTACCCTATCTGTACTGTTGTTCCTGCCAAAACTACCCTTCCTACCTTTGGCATGCCCTGACATGCCCAGACATGCCTTGTACCATAATGGATAGCCTTTCCCTTCCTGCGTAATTAGCCATATCCAATTTTAAACAGTAGCCAATTGGGTCAGCTTAGATTGCATGTTGAACTGCAGCCAATGGGGATAGGACACAAAAACAGACTGTGTTAGGGATAAAAACCCCTTCCCTCTTTTGTTCAGTGTGCTCTTGTAGCAGCCAAAAGTGTGAGCAGCACCCTTCTGCAAAAGTAAATTTGCCTTGCTGAGAAGTCCTTTTTTTGAGTACTCATTTTCTTTGTGACTCCAAGCTCTTGTTTCCAACATCCCCACTGGAACTGAACTCATGTAGTGCATTCTCTGAGCCCCTGCCCTATCCAATATGTAGCCATTAGCCACATGCAACTGTTGAGCACTTGACATGGGTCTGAATTGAGATGAACGCAAGGGTAAAATACACACTGGATTTCAAAGGCAGTACAAAAAAAGAATGTAGGTCAGGCATGGTGGCTCATGCCTGTAATCCCAGCACTTTGGGAGGCTGAGATGGGAGGATAGCTTGAGCCCAGGAGTTCGAGACCAGCCTGGGTAACATAGTGTGACCCCATTGCTACAAAAAATAATTAGCCAATATGGTCACATGTATCTGTAGTCCCACCTACTCAGGAGGTTGAGGAGGGAGAATCATTTGAGCCCAGGAGTTCAAGGCTACAGTAAGCCATGATCATGCCACGGCACCCTAGCCTGGGCAATAGAGTGAGACCTTGTCTTCCGCCCCATCAAAAAAAATAAGAATATAAAATACCTTAATCAATTTATTACATTGATTCCATGTTGAAGTGGTAATATTTTAGGTAGAGTACATTATTTAAAAAATTTTGGCCAGGCACGGTGGCTCACGCCTGTAATCCCAGCACTTTGGGAGGCCAAGGCAGGTGGATCACGAGGTCAAGAGATCAAGACCATCCTGGTCAACATGGTGAAACCCCGTCTCTGCTAAAACTACAAAAAAAAAAAAAATTAGCTGGGCATGGTGGCGCGTGCCTGTAATCCCAGCTACTCAGGAGGCTGAGGCAGGAGAATTGCCTGAACCCAGGAGGCGGAGGTTGCGGTGAACCGAGATCGCACCATTGCACTCCAGCCTGGGTAACAAGAGCAAAACTGCGTCTCAAAAAGAAAAAAAAAAAAAAATTTCACCTACTTTTTAAAATGTGGCTACTAGAAAATTTCAAGTTACATACGTGGCTCATGTTATAGTTCTGTTGGGTAGCATCACACTGTATACTTTCTCCCTTGGGTGAAAATAATGTGTTCATCTTTTTTCTCCACCACCAATTTGAGAGTTCCCGAAAGGTGGATGCCACACTTCTGTCATCTTGCTGACCTTTGTACACCTAGCTGGCATGTGGCAAGACACCAACAAAAGTGTGCTGAGGGAGTGGAGAAAAGAACACAGGATGTCAGGCATTTGGTCAATATAAAACTCCCTTAGGCAGTGTAGCTCCTGAGTCTGTGTTACTGAACTTATTTGCCCTTTTCTGTTTTTCATAGTTTTTGTCTTTTTTTAAGGGCTCACACAGTCGGCAAAAGAAGACGTTTTTCTTGGGAGATGGGCAGAAGCTGAAGGACTGGCATGACAAGGACGCCATCCGGAGGGATGCCCAGCGCGTAGGTAAGGAGGGCAGGATTGGCCATGAGTGGGCTCTGTGAAGGGCATATGCACATATGCGTGTGTGTGTGTGTGTGTGTGTGTGTATACATGTATGTATTTAGCAGGGTGTCTGGACCTCCTTTTGGCTCCCTCCCTGTCAGCTACTATACCTTCCCCCCATTCCCAGATGCCCCTCTTTACCTGTTAGCTGACCCCTTTCTTCACTCCCATCACCAGATCTGCTGCCTGCAGGAATTTGCCTGCACCTTTATTGGGTGATAGAAAATGTCTCCCTGGCTCAAGCCTGTAATCCCAGCACTTTGGGAGGCCGAGGCGGGTGGATCACGAGGTCAAGAGATCGAGACCATCCTGGTCAACATGGTGAAACCCCGTCTCTACTAAAAATACAAAAAATTAGCTGGGCATGGTGGTGCGTGCCTGTAATCCCAGCTACTCAGGAGGCTGAGGCAGGAGAATTGCCTGAACCCAGGAGGCGGAGGTTGCGGTGAGCCGAGATCACGCCATTGCACTCCAGCCTGGGTAACAAGAGTGAAACTCCGTCTCAAAAAAAAAAAAAAGAAAATGTCTCCCTCATATAGGTTATTTTGTATTTTATTTTTATAGGATAGCAATGTCTCTGCCACATGGGATTGCAACTAAAACAAGGAGCAGTAATAATAAGAACCAACATTAATTGAACCCCTATACTGTAGTGAGGAAGATCCGTGCTCTGTACTTGGAAATTTCCTCTGTGAAACCTCAAATCAACCTTTATGGCCCATTTAATAAGAAGAGACCTGTGGCTCTAAGAGGGGTGGTAATCTGCCCACTGTTGCACAGAGAGAAAGAGACAGACTTGGGATTTGAACCCAGGTCTGGAAGGAGGGCATAGTTGTTTCCTACCTAACACTGCAGCCATGAGACTGAAGTCAACTTAGAGGGCTTCAGCTAAAGTTTTCTTTGGCTAATTAGTCTTGAGAGCAGTTCTATTTTCACTGAAGAGTTGGGAAGGGTTGGGGTAAGATGGTACAGAAATTATGTGGAGAATCAGCTCTAGGCAGCCTGGACTAAGGAATCAGGAGAGCACCTCTGATGCCACTTACAGCCATCTAATCAGCAGATAAAAGTCCATACTCCCGGACCCTCAGTTGTTCCATCTGTCCGTGGGACTCATGCTTTCTGCTTTGACAACCTCAGGATGCTATTGTGAGTGTGCCAAGTAGAGCAGTGAGTATGTAGTAGCTTTGCAATACTAGAAAGCACTATAGAAATATAAGGGATTGGTATTAGTATTTTATCATTTTTTATCTCCATTAAAGGTACTCACCACTACTGATTTTTTAAAATTACATTATGACAAAACCAGCTTACCACAATAACTTAACTGATGAGAAACGAAATCTAGAGATGCCAGAAAATGAAAAGGGGGAATGAGTGCTGACTTTTTTGTTTGTTTGTTTTGTTTTGAGACAGAATCTCGCTCTGTCACCCAGTCTGGAATGCAGTGGTGGAATCTCCGCTTACTGCAACCTCTGCCTCCCATTAAGTGATTCTCCTGTTTCAGCCTCCCAATTAACTGAGATTACAGACCCATGCCACCATGCCAGGCTAATTTTTGTATTTTTAGTAGAGTCGGGATTTCACGATGTTGGCCAAGCTGGTCTCGAACTCCTGGCCTCAAGTGATTCACCCGCCTCAGCCTCGCAATGTGCTGGAATTACAGGTGCTGCTTAAATTAAGAAAGAAAACGATTGGGAAGAGCTGATTTGCCACATACCAGAATTGTTAGAACATTGGGCTAGCCAGCCAGAAAAGAGTAACCAGCAGTGGAGACATTAAGAAGAAGAATAACCAGCATTTGTCAAATGCTATGTGCCAGGCATCTTGCCTGCTTTACCTCCTTAATCGCCACATCATTCACATTGAACCTTCTCATTCTAATTAATACAAAGGACAAAATCTGAGACTCAGAAAGGCTGAAGGCATGCCCAAGATGACATAGCTGTGGATGGGTAGTGCTGGTCTTGGAACTCCACTCCGCCCGGCTTCAGGGCCTGAACTCTGAATTTGTCTCCTGTACTGCCCTCCTGAACCTTCCCTCCCTGAGCAAACACTTCTGGTCTCCTGCTCACTGTGTTTGGGTGCCTCGCGGTGTCTGTCCTGGGGTCTAATCACTGATGTCTTATGAAGCATTACAAGCTGTAGGTGACGGAGTCCTGTTTCTTGTCTGACTGGATTGGAGCAGTCAGAGCCCTTGGGCTCCGCCTCTCAGCTGGCGCTTTCCTGGCAATCTGACTTTGTCAATGTTTACTTTGCAGAGTAAATAGGTGTTGCTCAGGCCACAAGCTCCAGAAGGCAAGATGATTTTTAACCAGCTGGTTTTATTGCCATTTCTTCAAGATCTCACCAATGACAGATTCTTGAGCTACTATTGCAGGGGTCGATGTGGACATTCCCACTATGCACCCTGGGAGCCTAGAGAAAAATTTCCTGAAGTGTCAGACTCCTTCTCCAGATGGATTATGCAGGGAGGAAAGCTACCACTTTAACCCACCCAAATCCATGACTCAAAGCAACACTTTTCTGGCACTCCTGGTTTAGAGTAGGCAGATCTTAATTTGTTTGCTGGCCTAAAAACAAAAATAAAATCAAAGCATCTTTTATCTTTTATGCCAATTTTGATTTACAGATAAAGTTGGCCTTACCTAGAGTAATCACCTTTCCTCATGTTTATGAAGTGTTTTATAGTTTACAAAATACTTTCAAATAGGCCACTCTCATTTTCTCTCCCAAGAGTGCTGTGGGTATCAGAGGAGGGAGGTTTAGCTCTGAGAGTTGGTGGGACTTGGCCCAAGGTTGATCAGTTCACAAATGGTGGAACTAGCCGTCCAGTAACTGGTCTCCAAGGGCAGGGGTCTTTGGAGCTCCTGACAGAGTGAGGGAAGCATGGGCTTTGGAATCCATACTCCTGATTTGATAAACTTTCTGAGTCTCAGATTATCTTTCTATGGAACAAGGGGTCTCATATCCACCCCACAGGGCCACTGTGATTACCTGAGAACAAGATGTGCAAAGTGGCTGAATAAATGCTTGCTCCCCTCCCACTCTTTGCACTTCCCCCTGAAAAATTTGAGCTATGCTCTACATCCAAGCCAAGTTTTATCTTGGTGGTTTAATCATATTTTTCATCCTTTTCCCCCACTCCATATAGAGTACCCCCATACATCATTAGCCACATCAAATTTGCTCTTTGCTTCTAGGAAATGGAGAACAAGGAAGACCTTACCCCATGACCGATGCTGAGAGAGTGGATCAGGCGTACCGAGAAAATGGATTTAATATCTACATCAGTGATAAAATCTCCTTGAATCGCTCTCTCCCAGATATCCGGCACCCAAAGTGAGTGTAATAGCTCTCAAATTCTGAGATCTAAAGATGTTACCCCTGGCTCTTGTTGAGAATTAATGAAAGAAGCAGGTACATGGAGCCCTGCTGATGGAGATTCCCTCCTCTTACACAGGCACTTGTGCAAAGATTCATAGTGGTGAGGGGTAGAGGATGATACTGTCTCTCCAGAAGAGCCAGCCTCCTTCCTCTTTTCAGGGTATTAGAACTTTGTAGCCTCTGCATTTCCCCTGTTGCTCTGGGCCGAAGGGAAGTTTAGACCCCAGTGCAGAGGACAAGTTGTCATGACTTTCACCTTTCATTCTGTTCACTTTCTGTGTGATGTTTTTGCTGCTTTTTTTTTTTTTAATCTTTCTTTATATTTGTGTCTTTGTTATAAGCCATCTCTAATCACATTGACAGCAGACATATCAGAATGATTATAAAGATGATAACAATGGCATCTAACATTCTTTGAACCAGTGGTATGTGCCAAACACTTTATTTGTATCATTTCAGGTTGCTGTAAGGTAGGTCATCTAATGATGCCAATTTTATGGTAAGAAAATTGGGGCATAAAGGAGATTCATAACTCACTTAAGGCCATAAGGTGACTAACAGGCTGAGCCAGGCCTTAGACTCCATTTAACCAAAAATTATACTCTGGACCTTAAGCTATCCTGCTTCCCTGTACATTTTCAATAAGGGGTCATTGTGGTGATGATGGTGATTTTCTGGTAGAGCTGTTCTTAAACTTGAGGTGCATTAGAATCACTTGGAGGGTTGTTAGGGCACAGGATATTGAGGCCCCAAAGCTGCTGGTTCAGTAAGTCTGGATGGAGGCCCAAGAACCTGCATTTCAGACAGGCTCCCTGGGGGTGCTGGTGCTGCTTATCTTGGAACCACACTTTGAGAATCACTGCAAGTAGATTTCAAAATTGCTTGCACACGAAGGCAGTACTGAGTAGCGCTGGAGCATAAAGTGTTTTGCTCAGGGACTAAAAAAATAGAGCCCAGGAAAAGATAATAAAAGCTAACATTTATTAGTTGCTTACTGTATGCTTGGCATTTTTCTAAGCCAGCGGTTCTCAAAGTGTTGTTCCCAGACCAGCAACATCAGCATCACCTAGGAATTTGGTAGACAGGCAGATTCCTGGACCCCAGCCCAGATTTACTGAATCAAAGCTATGGGGAAGGGTCCAGCAATCAGCATTTTAACAAGCCCTCCAGGAGATTCTGATGCATGCTTGTATTTGAGAACCACTGTTCCAGATATTTTAAGTATATTAACTCAGTCAAATCTTCCAAAATCCCTGTGAGGTAGATACTGTTGTTATTACCATTGCACAGATGAGGAATTGAGGCACAAAAAGATTAAGTCATTTGCATAGGATGACATAGCTAAAAAGAGATGGAGCCAGAATTTGAACCCACGGAGTCTGGCTCTGGAATCTATGGACTTAAGCACTGAGCCATAAAGATCCTTCCACCTATAAGAACTCAATCAAGCCAGGCGCAGAGGCTCACACCTGTAATCCCAGCACTTTGGGGGGCCGAGGCAGGTGGATCATAAGAGATCAAGACCACCCTGGCCAATTTAGTAAAACCCCGTCTCTACTAAAAATATAAAAGTTAGCCAGGTGTGGTGGCGCATGCCTATAATCCCAGCTACTTGGGAGGCTGAGGCAGGAGAATCGCTTGAACCCGGGAGGTAGAGGTCGCAATGAGCTGAGATTGTTCCACTGCACTCCAGCCTGGGCAGCAAGAGTGAAACTCTGTCTCAAAATAAATAAATAAATAAAAAAGAACTCAATCGATAGAATGTAGTGCTAAAGACTTCATCTTGTTAACATGTTTGGCAACTTACAAAATGCCTTCATCCAAGCTGGAAACCATTATTCTTTTTTTTTTTTTTTGAGACGGAGTTTTGCTCTTGTTACCCAGGGTGGAGTGCAACGGCGCGATCTTGGCTCACCGCAACCTCCACCTCCTGGGTTCAGGCAATTCTCCTGCCTCAGCCTCCTGAGTAGCTGGGATTACAGGCACACGCCACCATGCCCAGCTGAATTTTTGTATTTTTAGTAGAGACGAGGTTTCACCATGTTGACCAGGATGGTCTCGATCTCTTGACCTCGTGATCCACCCGCTTCGGCCTCCCAAAGTGCTGGGATTACAGGCGTGAGCCACCGTGCCCGGCCTGGAAAACATTATTCTTAGCCAACTGACTCAAGAACAGAAAACCAAAAATTTCATGTTCTCACTCATAGGTGGGTATTGAACAATGAGAATGCATGAACACGGAGGGGAACATCATACACTGGGGTCTGTTGGGGGGTTGAGGTGCTAGGGGAGGGATGGCAGGCAGTAGGGAGATTGGGGAGGGATAACATTAGGAGACGTACCTAGTATCGGTGACGGGGGGATGGATGCAGCAAACCACCATGGCATGTGTATACCTGTGTAACAATCCTGCACCATCTGCACATGTACCCCAGAAATTAAAGTATTTAAAAAAAAAAAGAAAAAAAATGCCTTCATCCCCATTACCTACTTTAGTTCCTAGAATAGTACTTTCAGGTTGGTATTACTACGATCGTCTCTACCTTGTAGATGTAAAAGATGTGCTGTCATCTAGGATTGAGCCCTTTTTCCAAAGATGTCTTACAGTGAGGGAACAGAGCAGGGGCGTCAGTGTGCTTTCCCATGGGGTTTGCCATTTGTTTCATGGTTTTCACTGTCAAACCCCAGATTTTTTTTTTTTTTTTTGAGGCAGAGTCTTGCTCTATCACCCAGGCTGGAGCGCAGTAGTGTAGTGGCACGATCTCAGCTCACTGCAACCTCTGCCTCCTGAGCTCAAGCAATTCCCCCACCTCAGCCTCCTGAGTAGCTGGGACTACAGGTGCACGCTACCACACCCGGCTAATTTTTGTATTTTTAGTAGAGACAGGGCTTCACTGTAATCCCAGCACTTTGGGAGACCAAGGTGGGCGAGAAACATTTTCTTCATTGAAGACTCCTGGGATTCACAGATGTGACTAGAATTCAGGGGAGTTTGTAAAGTTGGATGAGAAAAACATTGAATTTTAAAAAAATTAACCTTTAGCTGAAATTTGTTGTTCCCTTCATTTGTGCATGTAGACGACAAAGCCCTGTGATGTTGTCCCCCAAGGAAAGCATTTACTTTCACGTCACCTACAGACGCCTTGAAATGGCATGGACACTCATCACCACTTCGAAATGGGGGTAGTTTTTAGAACTACCACTAGATCTTTTTTTCTAGATATTTGCTTTTTATTTTTAATTACTATGGCTATATAATGGTTGTATATATTTATGGGATACATGTGATATTTTGATATGGGCATACAATATATAATGATCTAACCAAGATAATTGGGAAATCTATCACCGCAATAATTTATCATTTCTTTTACCATTAGATCTTGTTCCTTCTCTTTTTTTTGAGACAGGGTCTTGCTATGATGCCTACCCTGGTCTCGAACTCCTGGGCTCAAGCGATCCTTTTGCCTCAGCCTTCTAAGGAGCTGAGATTACAGGCAAAACCTCATCACACTTGGCTTTGAATAAATTTTGATAACTATATTTCAGTCTAATTGATTTTCTTTAAAATCTGGTACATTTTATTTTATGTATTAAGAGCATTGCTCTGAGAAGTGTCCATAGGCTTCCCCAGCCTGGCAGATGGACCCTTGGCATCAATAAGCTGTGAAACTCCTGTTCCAGGTGGGCGGGAGTGGAGCTAAGGAGGCCTCTGTCACCAGCCCACCCACCCAGCAAGCCAGCATCCAAGTTACTAACTGCAAAAGATGTCACTACTGCCAGCGCTCCTGACACCCCCCTTTTTTAGAGCCACCAATTGTGGAAGCTGACTTTTCAGAAATGAGTTGACAGATGTCTTGAAGAGGTTTCCTTTTTTTCCAGAGAGGAATCTTTCCCTCAGTTTGACAGCAGAAATGTGTGAGTAAACTAGAGCGGTTGAGCCACTCACTCCTTTTGGTTTCTTTTAGCTTAACTTCTCCAGCAGGAGCTGAGGTTTATGTTTGCCTTTTGTTCCCTCAAACTGAATTTTGGCAACGGCATGTCAAGAACAGGGTTGAGGGGCTGTTTGTTTGTGCCAGCTTCCTTTGCTTCCACCAGAAGCTGCACTGGGGACTGCGTAGCCGGAGAACGAAAGGGAGGCAGTTTGGCCCAGACTCGCTGGACCTGCAAATGGGAGTCAGCCAGCTGGCTCTGAGTGGGCCTGCCCTCTGCACCTTCTGCCAAGTGAGCGTGAACAGTGGCTAACTGGTGGGCTGGCCCACTTTCCCTACTCCCTGGGAGCCCTGCTGGGCTGCTTGGCAAATGAACGCGGCAGCCCCTCCAGAGCACAGGGCTGATGGCACAACAGAGACCCAACTGCTGAAGTGCCTGGAATCCGCAGTTTCCTATGCAAACCCCATGTTAGGTGGTCAGTTTCTTCCATGCAAAGATTATCCATAGTGGGAATGAAAGCAGCCTACAATCCTGACCTGCTTTTTTCATTCCATAGTTTTACCTTCACTAATGAATGAACCTTTGTTGCAATAAAAGGCCCAAGTCTACCAGATTCCTACTTCCATGTTCCTTTCTGCTGTTTCCTTTTTTGTTAACACAGTTAATTTATGACATAAACTGAATTTCTTCAAAAGAACTTACAAGCTCATATTACTATAATAACTAGTATTCTATTGAGTACTGTTACATCCCTAACAGGCTATGAAGTATAAAGAAGCAAGAAGGAAGGGAGTTATCACCTACTACCTTTGACAAACATGCATTAAATACATACCCTGAAAAAATGACAGCTTCTCAACAAAGGAAATTTAAGTCAACAACATTTATTGCAGTAATAATGTCATAGTGCCCCAACTGGAACATAAACATAGGTATAAAATCACATTTGGGCCAAGATAAAGTAATAGGGACCAGGTAAATTTGCCCTCCTGCCTAAAACAACCAAAAAAAAAAAAAAAAAAAAAAAACCAGGCAAAATACATAAAACGCTGGTGTTTAAGACACTGGACATCAGGCAGTGAAGAACAATAATTTCTAAGAAACAGGAAACAAATGAAGTGAGCCCTATATATAGTTGCCTCAGCTTATTGCCTTGGGAGAATTGTCAGGCCATGGTGCAGGGAGAGCAAACCCAGACAGAGCCCAGAAGACTTCCTGAGTTGAGGAGATGGAGCCGAGAGTCCAAGGAGATCAAGGAGGCTAGAGTTCAGAGGACGCAGTACTGGAGAGAGGAGAGCTGTGTAAAGAGAGAACTGCAGAGATCCACAGAGTCCTCTCAACTACTCAGTGGATTATTGATCAGCACATGCTATGAGGAAGCTATCTGAGGCTGGGAAAGGAATCACCCTAAAGGGATATAGGGAACAGTGCCTAGTGCTCACTCAGGTCTAAGAATAGGGCCTCTTCCTACCACCCAGACTGGAAAACCTCCTAATTAATAACTCATGGGGAATCAGGTAGAGTATTTAGAAGAATTTTGCCTTAGTGGGTTCTAATCAGTCCTAGACTAAACAGTATTCTGGACCAGTCTAAAAAAATCATAAATTATTACCCAAAAGGATCAAATTGTTTCCAAATATATAATGCACTCAGAACAAAGCTTGACATAATACTTATATCAATACAAAAATATTCAGCACTAAGCAATGTGAAACCTAATCAAAGATTACCAGGCATGCAAAAAAGTAGAGAAACATGACCCACAGAGACAAGTATTATCACTCAATCAAAACCACCCCAGAGTTGACACAGATATTAGAATTAGCAGAGTTAATTATAACTGTATTTCATATGTTTAAAAAGTTGAGTAGAGATATGGAAGCTATAAGAAGATCAAAATCAAAATTCTAGAAATGAAATCAACAGTGTCTAAAATGAAAAATATACTGGATGGGATGAATAGTATAGATATTGCTGGAAAAAAAAGATTAATGAACTTGAAGGTGTAGCAAAAGAAACTACTCAAAGTAAAACACACCAAAAAAATTTTTAAAAATTGAAAAGAGGCTCAATATTCATGTAATTAGAGTGTGTGTAAGGAAGTAATGGCTGAAAGTCTTCCAAATTGGATAACAACTGTAATACCACACCCAAAAACTCAGTAAAACCCAAGCTCAAGAAATACAAAGAAAATGACATCAAGGCATGTCATAATCAAATTACTAAAAACCAGTGATGAAGAAAAAAATGTCAAAGCAGCCAGAGAAATAAAACATGTTATATAGAGAGGAACAAAGATAAGATAACAGGAGAATTCTTGTTGTAAGCAATACAAACAAGAACATGATGAAGCAACACCTTTAAAGTATGGAAATGTCAGTAAACTATGGTTAGTAAGAAAAAAATAATAAGGTATGGAAAGAGAAAACTCTGTCAACTTAGAATTCTGTACCCAGTGAAAATATATATGTTTTTAAAAGATAGCTAGAAAAAGAGATCTTTATTTATAAAATGTGAAGATCACTAGAAATAGTAGCTATATGGATAAATATATGCTATTTGTCTTATTGTCTAAATCTTTTAAAAGACGATTGACTCTGTAACCAAAAATAATAACGTTATTGGGTTTAAAATGTATGTAAAATAAGATGTGTGTCAACATAAAGATTGGAGGGGAGAAATAGTAATCTGCTATTGTAAGGTTCTTGTAGTACATACATATGAAGTACAAAATATCATCTGAAGGTAGACTGATGAGTTATAAACATATACTATAAACCCTAGAGCAAGTACTAAAATAACAAAACAGAATTTAGCTGATAAGCCCACAAAGGAGATAAAATGAAATTGTAAAAAAAAAAAATCCAAAATAGGGCAGAAAAAGCAGGGAAGGGAATCAAAATCAGAAAGGAGAGATAGAACTGGGTGCAGTGCCTTGCACTTGTGATCCTAGCTACTCAGAAGGCTGAGGTAGGAGGATCACTTGAGCCTAGGAGTTTAAGATCAACCTAGGAAAGACCCCATTACTAAATTAAAAAAAAAAAATTAGCCAGGCATACTGGCACATGTTTGTAGTTCCAGCTACTTGGGAGGCTAAGATGGGAGAATCACTTGAACCCAGAAGTTTGAGGCTGCAGTAAGCTATGATCATGCTGCTGCACTCCAGCCTTAGTGACACAGCAAGACCTCATCTGTTAAAAAAAAAAAAAAAAAGAAGAAGAAGAAGAAATGGAAAATACCAAAATGATGGACTTTAACCTAACCATATCAACAATCATATTAAATGTAAATGCTCTCTGGTTAAAAGGTGGAGATTGTCAGATTGGATAAGAAAACAAGATTCTAATATATGCTGCCTGCAAGAAATGCACTTTAAACGTAAAGATTCAAGTAAGTTAAATGTAAAAGATAGAAAAGATATACCACACTAACGCAAGTCAAAAGAAAGCTGCAGTGGCAATATTAATATCAGTCAAAGTAGATTTCAGTGCAAAGAATATTACCAGGAATAAAGAAAGTTATTTCATAATAAAGAGGTAATTCTTATGGAGGACATAGCAATCCTGAATGTTTATGTACTTAATAAGAGAGCTTCAAAATACATGAAACAAAAACCAATAGAACTATAAGGAGAGGCCAGGCACAGTGGCTCTTGCCTGTAATCCTAGCACTTTGGGAGGCCGAGGCAGGTGGATCACCTGAGGTCAGGTCAGGAGTTGAAAACCAGCCTGACCAACATGGTGAAACCCTGTCTCTACTAAAAATACAAAAATTAGTCAGGCATGGTGGCATGTGCCTGTAATCCCAACTACCCAGGAGGCTGAGGCAGGACAATCGCAGGAACCTGGCAGGCAGAGGCTGCAGTGAGCTGAGGTGATGCCACTGCACTCCAGCCTAGGTGACACAGTGAAACTCCAGCTCAAAAAAAAATAATAATAATAATAATCACTATAAGGAGAAATAAACAAAGCCACAATTATGAGTTTTAAAAACCCATCTCTGGTAATTGGTAATACAGATAGACAGAAAATTGTTATAATTACCAATTATAATTTCTCTATAATTGGTAATACAGATAAACAGAAAATCAGCGAGGATATAATAGACTCTCACAGCACTGTCAACCAACATGACTTAATTGACATTTATAGAACACTCAACCAATAACAGCAGAATACACATTCTTTTCACGTGGATACGAAACATTTACCAAGATAGATTATCTTTTGGGCCAGAAAACAACCACAATGAAATTTAGAAATCAATAAAAAAAAATCCTTTTAAACTTTCCAAAAGATTAGAAAATATATTACTTACATATAAATAACAGGTGAGTCAAAAAAGAAATCAAGGCAAAAAATAGAAAGCATTTTTAACTGAATGATAAAACACAGTATGTCAGAATTTGTGGAATGTCACTAAAGCAGTAGATAAGGGGAAATTTGTGGCATTAATGCCTATGTTAGAAAAAAAGAATGGTCTAAAATTGATGATATCATCTTCCACTTTCGGCTGGGTGTGGGGGCTCACACCTGTAACCCCAGCACTTTGGGAGGCTGAGGTGGGAGGATCATGAGGTCAAGTGATCGAGACCATCCTGGCCAACATGGGGAAACCCTGTCTCTACTAAAATTACAAAAATTAGCTGGGCATGGTGGCACGCCCCTGTAGTCCCAGCTACTCGGGAGGGTGAGGCAGGAAAATAGCTTGAACCCAGGAGGTAGAGGTTGCAGTGAGCCGAGATCACCCCACTGCACTCCAGCCTGGCAACAGAGCAAGCCTCCATCTCAAAAAACAAACAAACAAACAAAAACTTCCACTTTCAGAAACTAGAAAAAGAAGAGCAAATTAATCCACAGTAAACAGAAGGAAGTGAAAAAAGTCAAAGCAGAGATCAATGAAACAGAAAATCAAGGAAACCAAAAGCTGGCTCTCTGAAACGGTCAATTAAATTGATTAACATCTAACCAGCCTGATAAAGAGAAAAAGAGAGAAGACAAAAACTACCAATATCAGGAATGATAGAGATGACATAACTATAGATTCTTTAACTATTAAGAAAATAATAAAGGAATACTCTCAACAACTTTGTGCCTAAACATTTAAAACCTTAGCTGAAATGACAGATTTTTTGAAATACACAAACTGCCAAAGCTCACTTAAGGAGAAACAATCAACCTGAATAGTCCTATATCTACTAAAGAGATTGACAGTGTAGTTAAGAACCTTTCCATAAAGAAAACTTTAGGCCCAGATGAGTTCACTGATGAATTCTTTCAACAATTTAAGAAATAATTCTAAAAATTTTCCCCAAAATTAAAGAGGATGGGGTACTTTCCAACTCATTGAAAAACCAGGAGTATCCTGATTCCAAAATCAGACAAAGATATTACAAAAAAAGAATATTACAGACCAATATCCCTCAAGAATGGCTTGGGCAGGTGATATCCTCTACATCACCATTATTCACCTTTTTTCAGGTCAGCAACTAGAAGAATTAAAGGATAAAGAGGTGTGCCAAAGTCACACAGGTACACCCTGGGCAGGGTTGTATGTTTAGTGAAAAAATAATAACAATAAAGTATGAAAAGAAAAGCCTGTCAACCTGGAATTCTGTAGCGAAAATATCTTCCAAAAAAAAAGATACCAGATAGAAATAGAGACCTTTATTCATAAAGAAAGATTACTACAAATAGTAGCCATGTGGGTAAATATGTACTATTTTGCTTATTGTTTGAATCTTTTAAAAGATAACGTACTGTGGGGTAGAGTGCGTTGGAAATGCATTTGTTGTCATGGTTTGCTAACCATTGCAGCATTCAAAACACCCTGATGAAAGGGTGGGGAATCAGAAGGAAGGAGTGGACTGTGAGGAGATAGCATCCTGGGCCTAGCAGAGCTGGTGGCTGAGGTCCTATTCGGGGACCACCCACCTGCCCCATGATAATGTGGCCTTGGTAATGTTGAGTTTGGCTTGAGAAGTGGAACAGTTGGTGTTCATAACTATTCCCATAGCAGAAGGGGAGTCTTCTCGAATGATGGTGTAAGCCTGGGGCAAGAAAGGGCAGGGATTTTACAAGAATTGACCTTTCCTGCCCCAGGTGGCATCACCAGCTGTGCATCCCTGTTGGAGACCCTGAAAACTAGGGGAAGCTATTGGCAGAGCTGCTGCCTGTGCTCTTGGGCTCCTGCCCTGAATAGCCACCCAACTGATGTATCCAGAGCTAACTAAATTGGGAACTTTATGTACGGTAACCGTGTGTGTTATGGGCTCCGTTCTACCCTCCCCCCTCCAGTCCGCAGCTCACCTGAAATGCAGCCAGCTCCTACTCAGGTTTATTATGCTAAAATGATCAAGAGATAGCTTCTGTCTTGAAGAGATTTCATGCCTATTAGTTACTTAAAACTGTCTCTGAAAGCCATTTATTCATTCAGCAAATATTTGTTGAGTGTCTATGTTGTGTGCTTACTATATGGCCTAGGTCCTAGGGAAACAGCAATGAGCAAATAGTCAAAATCTCCTTCCCTCCTAGAGCTTACATTCCACTGAGGGTAGGGGTGGGAGAGTCATAAACAAACAAATAAATGGATTGATTTTTTAGATAGCAATAAGTGATCTAGGGCAAAAAAAAGATTAACAGGATAAAGCTTAGAAAAAATAATAAGAATAGGGTAGATTTTATGTCAGGGATCGGGGAAGTGCCTTCTGTTAAGATGGCATATGAACAGAGCTATGAAGTGATGAGGGGTCCAGCAGGGCAGTTAACTGGTGGAAGAGCCCTGCAGCAGAGAAACAGCAAATGCAAAGGCCCTGAGGTCGCCATGCCTGGCTTGTGGAAGCCAGTGTGGCTGGGGCCTGATGATGTGAGTGATGAGAAGTAAGGCTGGAGAGGTATCTGGGTAGTGATCAGGGGTTGTGCTGGGACTGGAGCTTTTCCCAAAATGAGTAAGACAGGACGCCACTGGAAGGTTTTGAACAGAGAGTGACATGATCTGATTTTCATTTTAAAAGGATCACTTTGGTTGCTATTTTAGGAATAGACTGTAGGCAGCCAAGGATGGAAGCAGGGAGACGAGTTAGGAGTATGTTACAGCAAGGCAGGGGAGAGTGAGAGTGAGTCAGACCACGGTAGGTGTAGTGGAGTAGCCGTGGCTGAATTCTAGACATACTTGGAAGGTGGAGATGGAAGTGCCAGGATTTACTTACAAGAATGTGGATATGAGAATAAGAGAGGAGCCAAGGATAATGCCAAGGTTTTTGGCCAGAGCAGCTGGGGAGATGAAGTTGCCATCTGCAGAAATGGAGACGACTTTGGGAAGAGCAGGTTTTGGGGAAAATCACGATTTTTATTGCAGACAAGTTTGCTACACTGTTTCACATCCAAATGTCAATGTCAAGTAGGCAGTTGAATAACTGATGCTATTTGTGTTGTGAAAAATGGAAATGATGACAGGATTTTTTTCTGAGTTGTGTTTTTATTGTGATCTTAATTAACTCACCTTCCTGGTATAGCAAGAAATGCCTGAAGCATAACAGATAGTAAGCCTAAAAGTGACCTAAGACCAGCTGTGGTCTGTGGCGTGTGGTGTGATGGAGTTTATGGTCAGTGTTCAGGTCATGGCAAGAGCGGTGCCCATAACCTTCCACCCTTTTTGTTGGGAATGAATGACAGGAGTCTGCACCCGCCCCCACCCCATGGTGCAGAGCCATTTGTCAGACCCTTGGTAGAACGGTGACAGGCTTAGAAGATGTATTTAGTACTTATTAGCAGTTTTTACCCTTTTTATCATGATTCATGTGGTAGAGCAAGCTCGCCTGACGCTTTTATAATGGAGTACTTCAGTATAAGATTGGTTCCGCAGAGATGCTCAGGATTCAAGAGCAGTGCAGCCTCCCCATTTTGGCAGGTTGTTAGCAAGGCTGTTGTGGCGGGGGAGGTCCTATAGATGGAATGATTTATAGGCTGGGAAAGGAAAAACTCTAGGATTTTTTTCGAAGCATCACTGATTTTTTTCTTTTTTCTTTTTTCTTTTTTTTTTTTGAGACGGAGTCTCGCTGTGTTGCCCAGGCTGGAGTGCAGTGGTGCAATCTCGGCTCACTACATCCTCCGCCTCCTGGGTTCAAGCGATTCTCCTGCTTCAGCCCCTCAAGTAGCTGGGATTACAGGTGCACACCACCACGCCCAGCTAATTTTTGTATTTGTAGTAGAGACGGGGTTTTGCCATGTTGACCAGGCTGGTCTGGAACTCCTGACCTCAGATGATCCGCCCACCTCAGCCTCTTAAAGTTCTAGGATTACAGGTGTGAGCCACCGTGCCCAGCCGCATCACTGATTTTTTAGAAGACTTAAATCAGCTCTCCTCCTCTGAAACTAAAAGACTTCCTTCTGAACAATGGTGTTTCTTTTAAGATAACAGTTATTGATCCATTGGACCTAATATTGGGATTTAAAGGTGCTCATATGCCTTAAAATAAAATGGCAGCCAATAACATTTCTCACATTGACTTCTTTTCTCTAATTTTTAAAAGAGTTCAGTGAATTCAGCCCTCAGGTTGAAATTTGAAAATAAATAATCTATCAGCAAAAATGGCTGCCTATCAACTAAAAGTTATATGGGGCACCTACCCCCTAAAATTTATGCTAGATAAAAGCCACTTACGTCTACATGACTGGATATATGGTTTGTTTTCTTTTTATTATTTCTTCAAGTCTTTTAGATACATTTTCTAAGTCTTCTAGAAATCAATGCTATGTTCTCCATTAATAACAACATGTACTGTTTGTCAGATGCTTCTATTTTTTATCAATGTGCAAGGCATTGTGCTGAACACCTTGCCAGCTATATGTTACTGGTTCCTATTCTGAATTGCTGTGCAATGATGATTTATTTCCTTTACACTCAACACTGTCTTCTGGTTTACAAACTATTACAACTCTTGTGGTTCCCGCCTCTCTGAAATTGTATCAGATGCGGACCATCACTAGCTCCATTTCACAGATGCACAAACTAAACCTCAGAGAACCTCAGCCCTTTGTTCCAGTTCACACAGCTAGTAGAAGGCAAAGAAAGCTCCAACTAGATCTAAGCCTGTGCTTTTTTCTACTGCATCATACACAGACTGAGACCTGAAGCCTGAGACCTGAGACCCATGTCTCACAGAGGAGGGAGATTTTTTTTTTTTTTTTTTACAACAGGTTCTCACTCTGTTGCCCAGGCTGGAGTGCAGTGGTGTGATTTCGGCCCACCACAAACTGTACCTTTCGGGGTCAACCAATTCTCGGGGTCAACCAGTTCTCATGTTCAGCCTCCCTAGTAGCTGGGACTGCAGGCGTATGCCACCACACCAGGCTAATTTTTGTATTTTTAGTAGAGACAGGGTTTCACCATGTAAGCCAGGCTGGTCTCAAACTCCTGGCCTTGAGTGATGTGCACACCTTGGTGTCCCAAAGTTCTGAGATTACAGGCTTGAGCCACCACACCTGACGGAGAGAGACGTTTTTAAATCTGAATGCCCTGTCTGTGAAGGTACTTGGACCAGGCCTAGTTTGTAGGATTTGCTATATAAATCCAGCAGTCACACCAGCAGACTCTTCTGCATGCATGGCACTCACCATACAGAAGGTAATATGTTCTTGTCCAGGAGCAGATAAATAGCATTCAGCAAAATTGGTTACAGAGATGAATTTGATTTCTAAGTGGTGTTGGCCTTGAAAGGGTTTAAGAAAAAAGAAAATAATGACTAGAAGATAAGAGTGATTATCTATTCTCTCCTTTCATTAAGATGGTATCAGGGATAGTGTGATGATAAGACAAGTAGAACAGCTTAGCTTAGGAGCACTGTTACATAGAGGAGAACATAATTCTCTCTTGACTGTAAGGCTCCTTCTCCACATCTTTCAGGGGAAGAAATCAATAGTCCCTTTCTCCCTCTATCTCCCAACTTTACACTCCAATCCTAAATCTGCCCAAGTAGTGAACAGTAACAGTTTAGTGTATCACTTTCTATAGTTTTTTCATTGCTTATACAATATATAGAGACATATGAATGGGGCTTAGGCTGTGGTTCGGTTTGGTTTTATAATAATGTGGTTGTACTATTGTGTTTTGTTCTACAATTGCTTAATATATTATGGTCACATTTTAAGATATTTCTAATAGCTGTGTAATATTCCATAGGAATATTGTTTAGTTGACAGCTCCTCTGTAGACAGACATGCAGGTCATCTCCAGGTCCTTGCTTCTGGAAACAGTGTGGCAAAAACATCCTGGAACACATATCTTTACATTTTTATTTCTTCTTTTATCCTTTTATGAATCATCAAGAAACTTGATATTAAAGTCTATTGCGTTCTAAGGAATGCTTACCTCGCAGCTGGCAGCTGGCTCCTCACTGGGATGTGAGGTGTGGTCCTTAGGGTTATTTTCTGCCTTGCATACCATGTTCATTAACCAGAGTTCCTCTTTCCTGCTTTCATCTTGGTTTAAAGCTTGAGTATGTGGAATATATTGCTTGTACATCTGTAGGAGGACCGAACATTTTATCATGTGGGACAGCAGTGTAAAGAAACTGTTACAGATATTTCAAAAATATTATTGTTAGGTTGGGTGCGGTGGCCCATGCCTTTAATCCCAACACTTTGGGTGGCCATCCCAGCACTTTGGGAGGTACAGTCTGGGCAACGGTTGTGCCTCTTTGTCCTTCAGAAGCCATCACTGGGTCCAAAACTGATTCATTTGACTGAATGTACCTAGAGATTATCTACTTATATCTGCAAAGATTCTTCTATTTGCAAGTGACAAAAACCTAACTCAAGCTGACTTAAGAAAATGTATCAGTTCATATAACTGAAAAAGCCAGGAATAGTCCTTGGTTTCAACCATAGATGGATCCAGGTCCTCAACTGATGCCACTAGGAATCTTTCTCTCCAACTCTTGGCTTTGTTTTCCACTCTGCTAAATTCATTCTGAGGCAAGGAACAGTCCACATGGTTGCCCCAGGCAGACCAGATGTATATCCTCCCATGTTCAATCTCAACAGAAAAGAGCTTACGTCTTTCCCAGTTGTCTCAGCAAAGACCTTCTCTGATTTACAGGTACCTTTCCTAGACCTACTTGTAACAGGGCTGGAGAGGTGAGATGTTGTGTCTGCTAAGCCAAGCTCCTATGCCCACCCTCAAGGCAAGAGAGGAGTCAGCTCTACCCCAGCCCTACACAGGTGAGGTGTAGGAGATTCCCCAAGGAAAATCAGGTTGCTGCTACCAAGAGAAAGAGAAAGAATACAGACTTGCCCATTCCCTCATTGACATAAAGGGAAACTGAGGTCCAGCTGGGACCTGTTGTTGACTTGGATTGTCGCATGGCAGAGCAAAGGCTCTTAGAAGCCACCAATTCTGACACCTACTTCGTTTCCTCACTATTTGTTTTTTACCTAGTCATTCTTATTTTTTGCTGATACAATTAATAGGATTGATAAATTAGCCCTATAAAATACTAATATATATTAAAGACAGATGGGTTTAAATCTGGGCTTCATTTCTTACCAACTATTTGACTGTAGGCAAGTTTCTTCCCTGTAGCTTGTTTCTTCCTCTTTGTAATGAGAATTATATTCCCTACACTATAAGATTATTTTGACAATTAAATGGCTTAATGCATATTAAGCGCCTACAGCACTGTCTGGCATGTTGGAAATCCTCAACAGATGTTTTCTATTATTGTCATTGTCACCTTCTGCCTTATTTTTTAACTGCTTATCAGTATTCCATAGTTTGAATTTTTCATCCTTTATTTAATCTTCCCCTGTTGGTGGACATTCACTGTTTCTGTTCTTTTCGCTATTTCAACATGTGTCAATGAACCTCCCCAACTGTGTCTCTTTGTCCCTGGGCTGTACACCTCTCACTAAGCTTTGCTTAGTCAAGGTTGGGACCCAATCAGACTGTAAACCAAAGGGCAGTGAAAGTGCTTTTGCAAGAGAGAAAAGGTTTCCACCAACTCTCAGTTGTAAGATTCTAAACTCCACAGAAGTTTCTTCTTTCACAGTACCCTTTGGGGTCAGAAGTATTGATTCAAGAGGGCCTCCACACTGAGGTTATATGCTGGAAGTTTCAGAGTGCCATTACTTTGACCCTCTGCTGAGGCATCACTCTGCCCAGTCCTGATCCAGAGAGACACTTCCAAGCACCTCAGGAGGCCACGCTGCATCTGGAAGTTCATAAAGACCTGGGTGCCATCTGGGGTTAGGGGAATAGAGGGAGGACACAGAAGAGTTTATTGCTGCATACCATATTGTAAAAACAAATACACGTGTGCAGAGGAGAACACAGAGAGGACACATCCCGAATGTTGAGTAGAGGTCAGCCCCACATGTCAGTGGCAGGGCAGTATGTTTGCTGCTGTCAGTTTTCCTTTGAGCCTCTCTATGTCTTCCAGACATTTGTGCAATGATCACTTTTGAAAATTTTTAAAAAGTATTGTTTTAAATAAATACTACCTGGATTTGAGGCCTGAATCCAAGTCATTTGCCCCTCTGAGCTCCATTTTCTTCATCTGGAAAATGGGATTAACACTCCCTGCTTCATCTTCCTCATTTGAATATGGCACAGATTAGAGGAGAGAGAAGGAAAAGTGCTCTCTAGACTGTCAGGCATGATAAGCCATGAGGAAGCAAAGGTTACTGTTGCCTGGCCCACAGTGCTATCCATGCCCAGCCTCTTTGCAATGGGAGGAGTGCTCTAGGCCCTTTTCCTGTGGCTGCTTTCTGAAGACATGTGGACGAAAGGATGCTTCTTGTTTATCATACTCAAAAAAACAGGGCACACTCCACCATCCAGTGTCGAGATCCTAAAACATAACAAGTAGACAAGTCTTAAGTGGGGCTGCTAAGATGGGGGTGCCCCTGGTGTGAGTGGCGGCTTTCTATTTTTTTCTGTGCCGTCCTTGGGTCCCCTTTGTCTGCTGTAATCTGCACCCAAACAAGAGGCAGAAAAAAGGGGCTTTGCTTGGGCTGTCAACTGGAAGGTGGCTTGTGGGCAGGTCTCTAGAACCAGGTACCCTGCTGGATATTGGGGAGATTAAGTTGAGCAGGTCACACAATTTTTTATTTAATCAAAGAAACTCTACTAAGCTGGGACCAAACTAATGACTAGTGCTCATGGCAAAAGTCGAATTTAAGTTTTGTGTTTATTTAGAAAATGAATGGCTGGATAGAGGAGAGAGAGAAAGAGAGATCAAAAAAACTTAAAAAGAGAGGCACACGTTCAGGGCTGTGAACCAAGCTGAGCCTTTTATTTGAGTTCTGAATAATCTTTAATTCCATGATTGAATTAAATTAGAAGTGAATTTAGCCTATTGTGGTTTTGTGTACTTCCCTTAATGCATGATGGTGTTTGTGTGTCTACCGGCAGGCTATGAACCTAGCTCTGGGCTTGGAGTGAGTAAGGGCTTTCTGCTGTGTAATAGCTATATTGTATTTCACCTGTGGACCCCAGGCAATTTATTCCAGCTAACACCGCCCCCAACAACCCTGCTTCAATCAAGCAAGCCTCCTGTGAAATTAGATGTTAAGGCAGGAACTTTTGTAGAAAACCAGATACCACCAGTCTTCCTTGGCCGCAAAGGATTCAACCGAGTTAAGGAAAGGGGATTTTTAAGATGGTGTGCTTTCATTTATTTGTGAAGGCCAACATAATGAAGTTGGAGCAGGTTCCCAGAGAATGCTGGCTGAAATGATCAAAAGGATTAGAGAGGAGGGGAGGGGGCAGAGGAGGGCTGTGTGGGGACTGGATGAAAAGAGGCCAGCAAGATGGAAGAGCAAGAGAGGATATGAAGGAAGTCTGGAAGGTCCCAAAAGGAGAGAGGCTGACTTTTCCATCAGAACTGGACCACTGGAATCAAGGGAGTTTTGTTCACACAGATGGAATGAGCTGTCTGCCAGACTGCCAAGAGTTTCCTCCTGCCAGGACTGCAAGGGTTAAGTCAGGGCAAGGTCATATCTGCCTCCTGCAGTTTCCTTTGGTGCCTCTAGAAGAGGTACAAAAACTAAGAAGTTTTTGGATTCTGACCTGTTTTTCCCCTCAACATTTCTTTCTAAAAATTTTCAGACATAAGGAAAGTTGAAAGAATTATACAGTAAACACCCACATTCCCACCATGTCGATTCCATAATTAGCATTGGTTTACTTACTTGATCACATCTTCATCCAGCCCTGTCTCCACCCCTCAATCCACTATACTTTTTGTTACATTTCAAAGTAAGTTGCAGAGAGACTCCTGCCCATTTTGACAGTTGAACAGTACACTTCAGTGGCATACAAAGAGATTTTGTTGTTACATATATTGCCCTGAGATGTCACAAGTTTCTCCCAAAAAATTTCTCCCTTTTTTTTTCACCTTGAGACAGAGTCTCACTCTGGTCACCCAGAGTGCAGTGGCACGATCTTGACTAACTGCAATCTCTGCCTCCGAGGCTCAAATGATCCTCCTTCCTCAGCCTCCCAAGTAGCTAGAACTACAGGTGCCCACCAATATACCCGGCTGTTTTTTGTTTTAATTTTTGTAGATGAAGTCTCACTATATTGCTTAGGCTGTCTCAAACTCATGAGCTCAAGTGATCCTCCTGCCTCAGCCTCCCAAAATGCTGGGATTACAGGTTTGAGCCACTGCACCTGGCCACCTCCAGAACTTGTTAGCGCTCTCTGGAGCCCCTTCCCTTGGTGGTTTTTACTTCCAGGCTCTCAGATTTCAGCATCTCCAGGGACCTGGGAGCTAACATGAAGGAATGAAACAGCTGAAGCTGCCCAGGTGTGAGGTTGCAGGGAGTGTGGAGAACTGAAGTGTCTGGAGAGCACCTGCCCCCTAGAGAGGGGCACCCACTGTCACCTCCAGCCCACTGCTGTTGCATGAGACTCTGAAGTCAGTGTTTCCCAAGATTAAGAAAAACCAGAAATGAGGGGTTTTGTGTGTAATCCTCCACTTTTTAAATGTTTGCAGATAATGTTTATGCCCTGGGCAAAACGGTATCAAGGACGACCCCTCATGTATTTGTTTTCTATAGCTGCCATAACAAATTATCACGAATCTGGAAGCTTAAACAATACAACACATAATGTATTCTTACCATTTTAAGCAACACAGAGGTATTCTTACAGTTCTGTAGGTCAAAAGTACAATGTGCATGCGTCTCACCAGGCCAAAATCAAGGTGTCAGTGGCAGGGTCACCTTCCTTTCTAGAGGCTCTAGGGAAACTTTGCTTGTCTGGGTTGAAGACTGAGGCTTCTGTTCCCTGGCTATCAGCTGAGGACTCTTCCCAGCTGCCAAGGGCTGCCCACCTTCCTGGGCTCATGACCCCTTTCCTCCATCTTCAGAGCCAGCAATCGTGGGTGGATCTCCTCTCATAGTTCAAATCTCTGCTTCTTCTGTCTTATCTTTTAATGTAGACAGAAAGATTCTCTGCTTTTAAAGACCCCTTGTGATTACATTGGACCTACCTGGATAATCCTGGCTCCTCAAACCCATCTCCAGGTCCTTAACATCAATCATGTCTGCAAGGACCCTTTTGCAGTATAAGGTAAACATGTTCACAGCATCCGGGGATTAAGGCATGGCCATCCTTGAGGGCAGCTACTCTGCCTGCCATACCTGGTTTCTGACTGGAGACACAGGTGGGCAATTGTTCTTTCTGAGCCTGCCTGGTCCTCAGGTTCCCTCTTCTGGGCCCTGGGAAAATCCCCTGTCCTCCCAAAGGAGACAATGTCCTCAGCCAGAGCTCACTGTGTTGGTGCAATTCCTGAGACACTCCCTCAAGCCTGGACTCTGGCCTCCCTGCAGCAAGGACAGGAGCATTTCCTGCAGGAGAATCACACTGCCCTGCAGCTACAAAGCAAGAGACATGTAGACAAAAGAACTTGGGCTATGGTATAAAAAGACTGAAGGTGAACTCTGGGGTCATTTATTCATTCAGCAAATAGTTATTGATCACAGACAGTGTGCCTGGTACTGTGCTAGGCTACGCATAATGGGGGAATTTCCCTCGTCATGGAGCTTACATTCTAGGGAAGAAGACAGAGAGGTAGAGAAGAAAACACCTTCTCTGTGCAATGGAAAAAAATATATATAAAGTGCAATGAAGAAAAGAATAGGGTGCTAGGAGACAGAATAGGGCTCAACAAACTTTTTCTGTAAAGGGCCAGGTAGTAAATGTTACAGGCTTTGAGGGGCACGTGGGGTCTCTGTTGCATAGTTTACTTTGATTTGTATGTTAGCACCCACCTATAGTCCCAGCTACTCAGGAGGCCGAGGTGGGAGGATCACTTGAGCCCAGGAATTTAAAACTGCAGTAAGCTATGATAGCACAATTACACTCCAGCCTGGACAATAGAGCAAGACTCCATCACAAAAAAAATTTAAAAGCCATTTTAGCTTGAGGGTCACACAAAAACAACAGGCTTTGGACCATAGTTTTGGTTAATCTTTGCCATGGAATATCAGGAGGGACCTAGCTACAGCTGGGGAAGCAGCTGAGAAAGACTTCTGTGAGGAGGCAGTCTTCAAGCTAGGATGTGGAGGTATGAGGAACAGCCAGCCGGGCAGTCAGGTGATGTATTTGAGGGGGCAGGTGTGGACAGGGAAGTCAGGGGAAGCCCAGCTCACATTCAAGGAACCAAGAGGAAGCCCATTTTTTGGTGCTTCTCTGCCTCAGCAGGTTCCTTCGCCTCGCTGAGCCTCCTTGTGTCCCTTCCTCCTCACAGGCTTGTTTTGAGCATTACCTGAGATCCTGTCAGTTACTGAAACCAGGTGTGGCAGGCAGAACACTGCTACCACCCCCTCCAATGTCCGGTGCTTCAAGCCCCATCACAGGGGCAGAGCTGTGTTACACTGTGGAGTGCTGCAGCACTGGGAATTCCACCTTCCCCTGGGGGGCCGTCTCCTCTGCCTTGAGCCTCAGCGCCTTCTGTGAAATGGGAATGGAAGCCCTACTTTGCCTGCTCCCTGGGGCTCTTGTGAAAATTGGATGTGAAAGTGGCCAGTGGCTGTCAGCCTCATGGTTGAGAGGGCAGGTTCTGGGGTGAATACCAGGTTCAGAGCCTACTGTTACTAGTTGTATGACTGCCTACGTTTCTACACCGTCTCTGTGCTTCAGGCTCATTGTGTGTAACATGGGGAAGATAATAATGCCTTCCATTTGGGGTTCTGTCAGTGTTGGAGTGAGAAGGCAGCACTCTGTGCAGATGCAGGCGTCCCCAGATGCTGGCAGGTGGGGCAGTGGGCACTTCACAGCTGTGGTTCCCACTGGGAATTGCCCTAGACAGCCTTGCTCAAGGTTGCGGCCCCCCCACCAATGACTAATTGAGGCTTGGATATAAAGGCCAGGCACCTTGTCTCACTCCAGGACCACTTAGAAAGGCCTTCTCAGCTATAGAGTTCCTGGTAAAATGGGCGGGGGGGCTCAAATACAGCCACATGGGGGCAGCTTCATCCTCACTTCTCTGCCTGTCGCACCTCCTTACAGGTGAATCTCCCGGAGTGCTCCCCAAGAAGCCATCAAAATATAATTTTTCACCTCAAGATCTGTTCCCAGGGAACCCAAGGTCTACCAGTTATGAATGTGAATATTTTGGGGTAATGACTCTCAAATTTGAGTGGGCATCAACGTCACCCCGGGAACTTGATAAAAGAAAAATTGCTGGACCCCCACCCTGAGAGTTTCTGATTCAGGTGGTCTGGGGTGACCAGAGAATCTGCATTTTTAACAAGCTCCCCGGTGATGCTACCACTTTCAGAATCACTGTTTTAGAACTCAGTAAGTTGCTGCCTTCCTCTTATTCCTCTTCCCACCTAAAGCTAAATTATAGAGTTATTTAAAGCAAATTGATAAACTTTATTTCTTGGTCTTGGTGTGACCAAATAGACTTGCTTAGAAAGAAAGAATGCAAGAATCAACCATAAAATAAAATGCAGTCCTAGAAGGAAGGAAAAAACAGATGGAGGATATAGAGACAAAAGCCAGAAATCTTTGAATTACCTGGTTTTTAGATTTGACTTGGGAACCATGTAAATATTTAATATAATTATAAAAACAAGATTAAGTCAAAATTAAATGCAGAAAGCAATCCCTAAAAATAAAGAGCTAAATGAAATAAATGAGCCCAATGTGTGTGAGTTAGTGGCTTAACCATACAGAGAGGAATTATTTCAAGTGGCTTAAAAACATAAAAATTTGACTGTAGATTCCTAGTTCCACATATGCTAGACACAAATATCTTAACTTTTCTGTAATCATATTGTTAGCCATAATATTAGTATTGTTCTCTGAAACTATTATATATTGTAGAAAAAAGCAAATAAGTAGCTATATTAATGTTACGAATTTATATTTTTAGCAAAAGAGATACAATAAAATCAGACAAAGATATAATAAGAAAACTATGGACCCTTATGAGTATTGATGCAAAAATCCTCAACAAAATACTAGGAAACCAAATTCAGCAATATGTAAGAAAGATTATACACTATGACCAAGTAGGATATTGCAGGAATGCAAGACTAGTTTAGCATATGAAAATCAGTGGAACTACATCATATTAATAAAATAAAGGACAGAACTTACATGATCATCTCAGTAGATGCAAAAAAAAAAAAAATTTTTTTTTGACAAAATCCAACACTTCTTTTTTCAGGATTAAAACACTCTGCAAATTAGGAATAGAAGGGAACTGCCTCAAGCTGATAAACTGCATCTGTGAAACGCCCACACTAACATCTTACCTATTGATGAGAGACTGAAAGCTTTTCCTCCCAAGATCAGGAAGAAGATAAGGATGGCTGCTCTTGCCTTCTGTTTAACATTGTACTGGAGTCAGTAGTCAAGACAATAAGACAAGAAAAAGAAATAAATAGGCATCTATATTGGAAAGGAACAAGTAAAATTTCCTTTATTTGTAGATGATATTATCTTGTACATAGGAAATTCTAAGGAATCCATACAAAATTATTAGAACCAACAAATGTGCTCAGCAAGATTGCAGGATACAAAAATCAATTGTATTTCTGTACACTGACTAGCAAAAAAAGAAAAAGATTTGAAAATAAAATATACATTTACTAGCCGTTTTTCCATAGAAGATGTATAAATGGCCAATAGGCATATGAAAAGATACTCAACATCATTAGTCATTAGGGAAATAGAAATCAAACCGTAAGGAGATACCACTTCACACTCACTAGGATGGCTGTAATCTAAAAGATGGACAATAGCAAGCAGTGGTAAGGCTGTGTAGAAACTGGAAATCTCATTTCATATTGCTGGTGGGAATGTGAAATGATGCTATCACTTTGGAAAACCATTTGACAGGTCCTTACAAAGTTTAAAATGAAATTACTTTGACCCAGCAATTCTGCTGTTTGCTATGTACCCATAGAATTGAAAACATGTACATAAAAACTCACACATGAATGTTCATTGCAGTATTATTTATAATAGCCAAAAGGGGGAAATAGTCCAAATATCCATTAATTGATGAATGGATAAATAAAATGTGGTGAATTCATACCATGGGCTATTTTTCAGCTATGAAAAAGAAATGAAGCACTGATGCATGCTACAACATTTATGAACTTTGAAAACATTACACTAAGTCTAGCCAGACACAAAAAGCCTCAAATGTAAATCCATTCATATAAAATGTCCAGGATAGCAAAATCCATGAACACAGAAAGCAGATGAGAGATTGCTAGCAGCTAGCTGGCAGGAGGAAAAGACGAGGAATGACAGCTGGTACACACAGGGTTTCTTTGGAGTGATGAAAATATTATGGAATTAGACAGTAGTTATAGTTGCACAACTCTGTGACTATATTAAGAACTACTAAATTATAAAAGTAACTTATATGGTATGTAAATGATATCTCAATACAAAGAAGATACAATAAATTCAAGTTCAGTAAAACTCAGTAATTCTAGATATTAAATATAAAATCTCTGCTTAAACTCATAATGTATTGTTGAAAATATATTTGTACCTGCCTGGGCAACTTGGCGAAACCTCATCGCTACAAAAAATACAAAAATTGGCCAGGTGTGGTAGCATACACCTGTAGTCTTAGCTACCCAGGAGGGTTAGGTGGGATGGCATGAGCCTGGGAGGTGGAGGTTGCAGTGAGCCAAGATCATGCCACTGCACTCTAGCCTGGGTGACAGAGTGAGACCCTGTCTCAAAAAAATAAAAAATAAAATATATTTGTAGTCTGACCACTGGGAAGGCATAGAAACTATAACCAAACTAGTAGTAAGGAACACCCTTAGTGCTTATTGCAATATCACCATTGCAGCATCTGCATGGTGATATTGATGATATTAAGGATTAAAGTTTCCTTGGCAGAATGGCTGATTCCAGCTTAGGGCAGGAAATGTGCGAGTTAAGTCTGGGGAATCTTGGCATATCTTTTATCAGAAAACAAGGAAGCTATCAGTACCCTGGTCATGTCCAAAGGACTTAGGAGCCAACCTGAGAAGACTCCTTTTGGCTAAAGATGGTTTTTTTGGGAACCAGTAAGAGTGGTAACTGCATTGGATTGAAACACATTAATTATGTTTCCACTTATAAGTTAACATAATTGACCATCTTTGAAGGATGCTAGGGAACCAACTCATTCTAAAGACTTGTAAAGAATTGAGAACTTACCCTGCCTTTCCTATACTTGGGGGTGAACAAATAGTTGATGTGGTAAAGTTTTCTCTAGAGAAGAATTTCAGCTAGTAAATGAAGACAGAGTAATAGAATTAGAATGTAATCATTTTTCAAACTCCTGATGAAATAAAATATTTGGGCCTCGATTATCACAAAAGGAAACACAACTGGAACAATGTGTCTCCTAAGGGATCCCTGCACCACCACCTATGAAGAAGCTGTCAGAATAGCTCACTGAATTAGGTCAAGCTTATAGATCTACCTACCAGTTTACAAGAACTAAAGGAGGACAGAGGAACGGTTTAAAGGATACCACAGAGATGCAAGCAGCAAAATGCAGACCGTGGGAACTCCTATAGGATAAATGGCCCAGTTTCTTCAACAAACAAATTGAAGGGGGGAAAAAAAAGGAGGGCAACTTATGTATAAAAGAGACTTAGGAGACCCGTGAGCTGTATGCAGTATGTGGACCTTGTTTTGATCCTGTTTTAAACAAACGAACTATAAAAAGACATAAAATCAGGGAAATTTGAATGCCAGCTAGATATTTGATGATATCAAGGAACAATGTTAATTCTTCTAGGTGTTATAATGGTATGAAAGACACAAGGGGCAGGGCCTTGCATCCCTAAGCTTACCATGGGGCTGGTGGAGACCAGAGCCCAGGGAGGGAAAGCGGAGGCGCTGAGCCGCTGAAGCTCAGTTTACTCTTCCAAACTTCTGGATAAATTGTTTCTCCTCCATTGGAGAGGAAGGTGTAGTAGGAAAAAACAAACTCACTGTTTTTTCTCTCTACTCAAACATGCAACACAGAACACTTCTGTGACCAAATGTGTGGGGCAGGGAGCGGGGGCTCCCCCAACAAGCAATTCTCCAATACCAGCTGGGTGTCCTGTGATTCAATTCAATTCTGACACTACCTGCCTGGAGTTAGAGTCAGATCCCATAGGTAAAGGCCTTTGTCTCACAAGATCAGCCCTCACCCCCCAACTTCAGATGCCATTTGCAAATCCAGACCTCAGAGAAGTCTGACCAGCCGGCTTTTTGGTTCCAATAACACCCTCCTTGGATTTGACTGTCTTCCTGAGTGGCTCACAGAACTCAGTGGAACACGTTTACCAGTTTATTATGTAGGAAATTAGAAAGGATACAGCCTTTCTAATGAACAGCCAGATGAAGAGTTGCATAGGGCAGGGTCTGTGGGAAGGACCTCCCACATTCTTGTGGAGGCCTCATCACATAGGCATGATAGATTATCATCACAATCCCCAGCTCCTCTCCCCTTTCTGGAGGATGGTAGGGTGGCGCTGAAAGTTCCGAGCCTCTCATCATGGCATGTTCTTTCTGGCGACCAACCCGCCTCCTGAAGCCCATCAAGAGTCACCTCATGAGAACAAAAGATGCCTCTATCACCCAGAAAATGCCGAGAGGCTTAGGAGCTCTGTGTCAGGAACTGGGGCCAAAGACGAAATATTAGAACAACAGATTTTCCTAGCACCCCTATTGCTTAGGAAATGACATGTTTTAGAAGCTCTGTGCCAGGAACCAGGGACAAAGACCAAAGCCTATAGTTCTTATTATAAATCACAATATCACAGCTGGACAGAGAGGCCAGAGTGTTACTGAAGGGCTGTCCTCCACGTGAAATCACGACTATTCAAAGTCAGGGAGATATTTTATACATATCCCTGGGTGCTGCATATGCAGAGATTGGAGATAGGACTTCGGGACATCATGTAGAAGTTTCTGTGTTACCAAGGTCTCCCTGGAGTTAACTCATTCCCTAAAGTCTGGAGAGGGAGTGGGATTTGTAGTTAGCCAAACCCTGTGCCCGAATTCTCTTGGCAGGATGAGAGCTGACCCTGCCCTCTGCCCTTTGTATTTCCCTCTAGCTGCAACAGCAAGCGCTACCTGGAGACACTTCCCAACACAAGCATCATCATCCCTTTCCACAACGAGGGCTGGTCCTCCCTCCTCCGCACCGTCCACAGTGTGCTCAATCGCTCGCCCCCAGAGCTGGTCGCTGAGATTGTGCTGGTCGACGACTTCAGTGATCGAGGTAGGATCTGACCCACCCAGCCTCCCACCCACTGCATTTCATCTGGCGACTAACCAAAGGGATGGCAGGTTTTCCCTTCTTTAGCAGCGTCAACATATAGGCCATCATTGGCTGAATGCTTGGACCTTGCAGTGTGCACACATTCTCTCATTTAATCCTCACAACTCATGAAGTGGCTGCTATTTTTATCCCCTGTGTATCCATTTAGAAATGCATTAACAGGAAAAAAAAAAAAAAAACGAAAAAACTTGACAAACATAGCTCAAAGAAGTGTAAGGATTCATTCACTTATCTGTCTCTATCTATCTATTTGTTAAATATTGCATAACAAGAGATCCAGGACTGGTACAACTGGCTACTCAGGGCTGTCATCCAAGAACCAGGCTGTTCCTTTCTTTCTGCTTCCTCATCCTCATGGTCACAAAATGGTGCCTCTGGCAAGTCTCCCTTTCAGGCAGGAAGAAGGATGGAGAGCAAAGGGCACAAAGCCATCACCTGTCAAGGCTTTGCCTTCTGATTCTGGAAAGTGTCCCTTAGACTCTCAGCCAGATCTCTGATGCTTGGGCACCATTCTCTGCAAGGGAGGCAGGGAATGTGAGTGTTTTTGTTTGTGGCCTCTTTGGTGAGTTAGGAATGGGAGAAATGGATTGGAGATGTCAAGTAAGCCCACCTGGGATTGCAGTTTCTGCCACACCATTTTACAGATGAGAAAACTGAGACTCAGAGAAGTTAAGTGACTTACCATTGGTCACATAGTTCTCAGATGGTAATGTGGTGACCTGTCTGTCTGGCCCCAAGCATGTGATCTTAGCTACATACAGAGCCTCTTCGCTGTGAGTCTCACTCTGTGGAATAACTCTCCGACTTGGGGTGCAGAGATAGGGCTAAAAGTGAAATTCAAGAAGAAATTGCCGTTCATCCTATGGCCTCTAGCTATTCTTTGCATTAAAGCTTTCACCAATTGCAGCAAAATCAAGAGAAACCCTTTCCTCTTCTCACCTTCCTGCAGAGGCACTAATAAGCAGTGAAGAGAGGGAGTATGCATGTACTCCAGAATAATTGCAGCTGACAGTTTCGGGAGCGGCTCACCTGCCCATCGCCCCATTTTAATACCACACTCGTAATTACATGCCTTTAGCACAGAGGCCTCAGAGGGAGATAGAGAGAGAGAGAGAGAGAGAGAAAGAGAGAGAGTGTGTGTAGACATTTAACTCAGTTCTTACCTAATCTCTAAAGTGTTCCCTACCTCTTGACATATACTCATTCTGATGCCACCCTTTACATTTCCTTCCTTTCTCTTATCACTTATCACAGGTAGAATTAAAATACGTATTTGTGTGAACACTGGTGTGTTGTGTGTCTCCCCTACTAGACCGTCTATCCTGATTGCAGGGACCAGCATATTAGTCTTGTTCACCACTGATCCCCAGCACCTTAGGCATACAGTAGGTGCTTAATACATGTTTGATGAATGAGCAGAGCTCGGTTCTTCAGTTTTCTTAGTACTTCCACCCTGGAAGTACTGACAGTAAGCCTCGAGCACACTATATGAGATTTATCGATATCCGCAGAGCGAGGACTGTGAGCCCGCTGAAGGTGGGGGTGTGCCTTCCTCATCCAGCTGTTGGGCAGAGAGCCTGGCAATGGCTGTCTCTGATCCTGGCCCTGCCACATACTGTCTCTGTGACCTTGACCCAGTCACTTCACCTCTCTGAGCTTTAGTTCCTTCATCTATAAAATAGGATCACAATAGTACCTACGACCTCTTAGGTGGCCATGACCATCAAATGAGTTAATAGAGGTCTATCAACTGCTTAGGACAGTGCCTGGCACAGAGTGATGAGCTTGGTATCATTTCTGTTGTGGACATTACTTATGATTGGTATGCAGGAAGGGGAGTCAGGGATGAGTGTACAGAGGAGCATGCACACAACGGATGTGTGGGTGTAGGTACGTCTTTCCTTTCTATAGGGAAGATTTTTGCAAACTGTAAAACACTGAGAAAATGGTTTCTGGTCTCATCCTCAACCTAAATTATCTCCTTGTCCCTTCACCCCTCTCTTTATAATAGCAGCCCCCACTTTGGGGAGAACCTAAATAGGCCAGGCCCATGTATTCTCTCATTTATTCTTGACAGCAGACTCTGAGGGAAGCCTTGGGGTCCCTTGTCTCAAATGAAGAGCCCAGGCTAAGTCATTTGCCCAAAATCACAGGCCATGGAGTGGCACCCCTAGGCCTATGGACTCAGCACCCAGGCCCTGGCTCCACTACTGCCTCTTGCGTTCTCTCTTCTGCTTTCCCTTTCCCAGTCTCCTCTCCCAACCTCATCTTTCTCCCAGCATGGGCTGCCACCCACACGCCAAGGGCTCACAGCTGGCAGTAGAAAGGAAAAAAAAATGAGCAAATTGCTCAGGTGATTAATTGATTTTCTGCAGCATAAACAGCCTCTGCCACCTGGGGACAAACACCTGGCCTTCCCTCAAGTAGGGGCTGCCTGCTCTGAACAGGCTCCTTGTTGCACTCTTTTTCAGGGCCACAGCAGTGGCAGTGAGGGCTGCGCTTACTCTCTCACTCCCTGCAAAGACCCAGCCACAGCAGGGCTCTCTGTCCTGGAGCGCAGCACACACCATGCTCTGTCCTGCCTCGGGATCCTGTGCTCTTCCTTTGCTTGAACACCCTCTTCCCAGCTCTTCCGATGGCTGGCCGCCCTCATCCCATTGTCATTTAGGCCCCACCACTACTGCTGTTCACCATGCTGCATGCACAGTTACATGGCTATTTGTTGAGCTGTTTATTCATTGTCAGTTTTCCCCCACTAGACCACTTGTGGTCTAGAAGGAGGTGATTAATAAATATTTGTGAATGAGTCAATAGACGCATGAGGAGGGAGGGAGGAAATGGATAGCAGCTACCCACGCATACCGAAAACCATCACCAGCAGCAGGGCCATCTTCAGCCAGCGAGACAGATGTGGCTGTGGAAGACACTGCAGTTTCTGCAGGGGCTGGTGCTGGCCCACGTCTGTGTTTTCAGGCTCAGGTCCCTGTAACCTGTTTTTCGGAAGTATCAGCTGCCCTGGGGTTGGGCTTGCAACACTCAGCAGGATCTGCTTCTGGGCATCACAGGGCATCCGTCCTCCAGAGATGGAATAAACCAGACATCAGCCAGATTCAAAACAAGCATCTTTCCTTGTTCAGTTAGAAAAGAATTTCAAGATCATCTAGGTCAGTGACTTTGTGCCTGCTCCTCAAAGCAGCAGAGGCCTCAGAGAAGTCTCAGGAAACGCTGTGAGAGTGTGGAGAACCTCACAGGCACAAGAGGGGTTCAGGTACCTCTCCTGGCATGGTCTGTATTTACTTTCTGAAAAAGTGTTTACTAGGGGGAGTTCCACTGCTAAAAAAAAATATGTGGAAACCACTATGTAACACAGCCTGCTCATTTTACAGATGGGAAGCCCAAGGCCTGGAGCAGTAGGCAGATTTAACCAGGAGCACACAACTAGCTGGTTGTAGAAGAGGGACAAGACCCCATATCTGGGTCGCAGTGCAGCCTTGTGCCTCCTCACCTCAGCTGGTTAAGTGACACATCTGCAGAAATGCATTATTCCTTTCTATTTTCAAGGGCACTTCTTAATAAATTACTTTCCCATTGTATTAAAGTGCATACTTTTTGCTAAAAAGAATTCATCATCAAACGTGTTAGTCCTAACCTATAATGGTTTGCACCTCTAAATATCCCAGTTTCCTTAGTGTTGTACTCAGCGGTAAAGATACCAGAGTAACTCCTCTCCCGCACAAAAAGTGTAACAATCTTGATAAAGAAAAGATATGACCACTTCATAAGAAGGTCATTCTTTAAGTGCATCCGTTTCTCCAGAGAGGAAAAATGTTTATCCACTGTAGTGCCATTCCCAACTCCTAAAAAGATAGAGAAGAAAAATAATACTGTCCCATTTCACAGATGAGAATGAAATCCAAGACCCCCTGATCACTGCCCCTTTTTCTCAACCAATCAAGCACCCAGCCCAGAGGAGAACTCCCACCTCACGCCCCTCAGTCTTGCACCTCGGCTGTCATGTTTTGCAACCTGCGCTTTTCAGAAAAGTAATCATTCGTGTTTCAAGAAGAAATTCTCAAGGCGGCTTTGTAGGAAAACTTTCTCAGCAGTGATTGTTTTAAAAATGAGATTTGAGAGAAACAATTTCAGAATTATGGAGAGGCCTGTCTAAAGTATGGCAAATATCGACCATCCTGCAAGACAGATTTCTCTGGGCTACATTAGCAGAGGCTGTTCTCAGAGCTGAAATTCATAGATGCTAACTACAAGCTAGATTGGTACTGCCTGGCAGAAGGCATTTTCCTCTGAAATGAATCTCCTCCAGGATCCTCAGGGCAACTAATTGTAATTCAGCTAAGGGTCGAGACCTCGAGTAGGAGACAAAATTGGAGCAAATGAATTCTCGAAATAAGATCCAGAGCTTTGTCCAGGCAGCATCGGGGACTGGAGTGGAAGCATACACTGACACCAGAATAATCCTGGCCCTGCTTACAAATAGAACACTACAGTTTGCCAGGGGTGTCCAAAAGCTCTTCAAATGTATGAGCTTTGCTCGAGGATTAGGAGGACATTGAGGTATTTTTGCACATGTGGAAGGGAAAGATGGGGGTATATAGGCTGCCAGACCTGTCCGTGGGTTGTACTGCCTGGGTGGCATGTTTTTATTAGGAAAAACAAGAAAGGTCTTGTTCATTTGTTTGTTTTTATTTCCTGTTCTCCTTAGCCTTTACCACTTTCAAACAGTGTTGTTTTTCCAGAAAAAATAGATATGTGGTAATGGAAAGAATTACTGTGTTTGGATTAACTGGAGGCTGCCTGGAATGATATGGCACAAAAGTGACAGGCTGTGGTATGATCTCATTGACAGCCTTTTCTCCAGCTAAATTCCCTTTCTACAAACAAACATAGGGAATGGTTCCCAATAGAAGCTCTTAGCAGGTGTT